TGTTACTCTTACCCAAATCTCTCTCCATTCCAAATGGTTTTCATTTCACCAGGGGCAAGGAAAGGAATTAGGCACTCCTACATTTTTATCCTGACATGGAGTAAGCATTTTATTGGGATTAAAAAAAATTAACTCAAAGGGAAAGAAAAACAAATGTATCCTGCCTCCAAAATACACACATTGAAAGTACTGAAACTTTACTTTCAAGCCAGGCTGCAATTTTCTTGTATGGCTTGAGTCCAGCTTGTCTGAAGGACTATGTTGTCCCATATCAGTCTGCATGTGTTTTGACATCTTCTATGTAAGCTCTAGTCTCTGTCCTACAACACTCTTGGGTACATCTGGTAGGAAAATAGTAAAGGGCCTTCCCAGTGGCTGTTTCCAGACTCTGGAACTCCCTTCCTAGAGAGATTAGACCAGTGGTTTTCAAACTTTGGCCCTCCAAATGTTCTAGTCTTCAAATCCCAGAAATTCCAGCCAGCTTGGCCAACAAGTCAGGACTTCTGGGAGCTGAAGTCCCAAACATCTGGAGGGCCAAAGTTTGAGAACCACTGGATTAGGCTGTTACCCTCCCTACTATCCTTCTGTAGGCAGGCAAATACATTTTTTGTTTTAGCATGCTTTTGATGGCTGGTTGCTTGGGAGGAAAGGAACTGTACTGTTTATTTGTCTTCTATGTATACACACACACACACACACACACACACACACACACACACACATGTTGCCTGGAGTCCCACAGGACTGAGGAAAAGGAAATATATAATTAAGAAAGCAGAATCTTCTGCTCAGCTCTGAGATTTATAGTCCAAAAAAGTTAACATTTTAAAGCCCTGGTCCTTTCAGCAGGTAAGCAAACTGTCCCCTTTAAGGGCCGAGGGACTCCCAGAATCCCAGACTATTGGCCAACACTAGTTACTAGTTCTGGCCAAATATACCATATATACTTGACTATAAGTCTACTTCATGTATAAGCCAAGGGCAGATTTGGAGGCCAAAATGATGGATTTTGATATGACCCGTGGATAAGTCAAGGATAAAACCTAGGGACATGTAACAAAGGATGTAAAGAATGAAACAAAGGAAAACAGTGCCAAAGAACAAAATTCCAGCAGGCATAAATGTTTGTGCTCATACTAAAGGTTGGATGGATGAGAGAGCAGAGGGGGATTAGTGCTTCCAAGACAGATTACATTCTTGCCTTTCGCCAGGGGATGGTTCCTTTTAAAAAAACAAGAGTTAAAGTACAGTACTTACATTGACCCATGGATAAGTCGATTCAGGGTTTTGGGATCAACTATTTCTCCTAAATTTCTAGACTTATACATGAGTATGTACATAAATCAGTAGCTCAGTTAAAACCACCCGATCACTCTGATCCAATGAAAAAAGTAAATTCCTGAACAATTGTGGGTAGCCCTCACTCTATGCCAACTGAAGCTAAGCAATTGGTTAAGCCCATACTGCTAAAATGGGATGCACTTACAGTGTGATGCAGTGGATCTATAGAGACCCAGCTCCTACATGTCCTTATGGGCTATCTCATTGGCCAAGGCTAAATCACTGTGGTCCCAGTCCTGTCTCTGCCTTTCAGAGGACACTGGCTAGGAAAACCTGCCTCCTGACCAAAGCCAGAGGAGTATCTAAACTGTCACAAGACAGTTCATTTGGTTTCATGTGCAGGTATGAGAGAAAGGTAATTGTGTGCTAGATAGATTCTGGCAAAATGACATCAGCTGAATATTTGTAATTGTATGCTGAGAATTATGGGAGTAGCAGACAAATAGCACATAATTGTGATTTATAGGCACCGACAATCATATTAAAAATGTTTCTCCTTTAAAGTAAGATCATTTTTGAGGTTTTATTTACAGCTATCAGTTTTTTAACATGTATGTCTAAAATGTAATTATAATTCTTCCGTCTTCCTGAAATTACTTTTGCTCTTAAAATGCAAGAGTGAGTTGACAAAGCACCAAGGTATCACATTTAATAGAAAAGCAAACACATCTCATAACTATTGTTTTCTAGTACATATATATAGTAGCCTCTCCCAATTCATGGGAGATACGTTCTGGGGGGAGGGAGCAAAAATGCCAGCTCGCAAATATTCGAGCCCCAATGAAAATAATGGTGCATACAAATGGGTGAGGGACTCAGGTTTCAAGTCCACGGAAATGGAGGTGCAACTGTAATGGGAAGCTACTTTCAGTTAACTAATCTTCAGTCACAACTTGCCAAGAAGAGAAGATGGAGCACAGGCCTAAGACTCATATATGTATCCATTTAATAAAGCATACTCTCTAATGGTCCCTATTTGGCATGGACAGGCCCAGTTAATCCTCTGTCATTTCACTTTTTCAGCTGCTTTTAAAATGTCCCAGTTTCTCTTTCCTCCCACCACTTTTCTCCTTTGTCCTCAGTTGCTACAAACTGAAATGTTGAAGGATATGATAAAGGTACATATGTAATATTGGGAATAGGCCATTTGGTAGTTAACCCTTTAATCCTCAATATATTTCAGTACTCAAAAATATTTTCAATATAGCAGAGACCTTGATCTATGTACCTACAGTGGTGGGGGAAGCATGGCAACCCGGTTCCTTCCTTGGCACAACAATACTTGCACCTTGCTCCCAGACTGGTGCTGTAGTACCTCTGTTGCCTCCGCTACTGGTCTACAAGTTTTTTCCCTTGTTCTTCCAAGGACAACAATACTGAAGGAGATTTCTGTAGCACTGTCACTATTTTAGAAGGCTCAGGGAGGAAAGGGTGGTAGACCAGTAGTGGAAGCAACAGAGATGTTGCAGCAGTGGCCTGGGAGCAATGCCAAGGCAGAAAAGGGAGACACAAGTATGTCCCTCTCTCTCTCTTTTTTAAATATTTTATTTATAACCTTTATAACATACAAATAAA